CCGATGCATTGGTGGTTCTCGATGTCCAGGGCTGGATGCTCTGGTGTGTGATGGCTCACTCTCGGCGGTTGCCTGTCGGGGCCTGGTCCTTCCGGCTCTGTCGGGTCCCGGCTGGGGGGTGGGGAGGCCCTTGGACCTCTGGGCCCGAGGTCCGGTCTGCCCTGGTGTGGCCGGCCGCCGATGGAGCCTGCGTGCTCGCCGCCACGGCCCCCTGGGGCTCCTGCGATGTGGCTGCCGGATGGCCCCCCTCCAGAGCGCTCCTCTGCCCTTTTCTGGGTGGCGGCTGCAATTGTCCCTGCGGTGGTCCTCCTGGGGTTCCCGTGCCCTGAAGGGCCTCTGGATGTCTGGGGCCCGGGTCTCCTCCGTGTCAGCTTCATGTCCTTGGTGGGCGGGGCTGTGGCTCCCCACACACGCTACTAGACATTTACATGGAGAAACCTTAGGAACACCAGTGCGCTGACACACACAGGTGTGCACACAGGTGCTCACGGACACGTGCTCATGGAGACACACTGTCTTGATCGGCTGTTGTTTCTGGGCATGTGTTGTAATGCTGGTTGTGTGTGCTGTTCAACAACATTTAACGTTTGATGGACGTTGTGATTAGTACAGATGTTGTATGTTGTCTTTCTCTTTTCAGCATACATGGAAGCAGATTATCTGTTTAGTTTTTTTCTTTTCTCTCTTTTTTTTTTCCTTCTCCTCTCTCTCCCTCTCTCTATCTTCCCCCCTTCTTCTCCTTTGTTTCCCCCCCCCTCCCTCTCCTTCTTTTGAGGAAGTAAATAAAAAAATAAAATAAATAAATAAATAATAATAAAAAATAAATAAATACAAATAAAGTAGTCCTCTGCAGAGGGGCGGTGGAGGAGGGAATATAAGGAAAAAAAAGAAACGGGATATGACTGGAACAAACAGAACTTTTTTAGCCGCGCGAAGCCGCGTGCAGCGTGTGTCTCTCCCCGCTCCTGCCTCTTTTTTTTCAATCTGTAGTACTAATCCAATGATGGACAGTCCCAATCACCTATTCTTTAACAACTCTGCCACTATGAGGAATCACACTAGGTTACGCATAGACAACAAGTTGGTATTACCTGCTCTTAAAGAAACAGTACACTTAGGCTATGAATTAATCAATCCAGCCACATACATGTAACACACTATATCAGTTACTCATCCGTAGGCTGAGTAATGCCAGGCTACATACCCCCCTCTCTAAATGTCTAGATGTCCTCATCAGACCGTTTCATCTCTAAACATCCAAAAGAGGAGTAGCTGATTTTATACTTTGTCTTATTTAAGCAAGTACGTACACACAGGCTGAAGAAGAGTAATTGCCTCCGTAGGATTCAACGTGTGGAGTAATGGAAATTCTCAATCCACGATGTACGAGCACTACCGGACAATCAATGGGGGATCCAGGGCTATCGTAGCTCAGTCACAACACTGGTTTTATTTCTCTTTTATTTGGTCTACCCAGAGTAGTTGTTGCATCTCCTTTGGACAAACTAGACGAACGGACGTCTCCGCCTTCTAGATCCATGTACACCATAGAGTCCTCCTGGAGTAATGCCAGGCTACATCTTTTTTTTCAGTTTTAGGGTGAACTGCCCCTTTAACATACACCAGCCCACTTTCAAGCCTAATGGACCTGCACAACTTGTAATGTGTTTTCTCTCTCAAGGGGCATCATGCGTGCACAGTTTCCAGAAGTCCACCTGTTGAGGAAAAAAACATACTGACAGCCAATGATGTAATTATGTTGGTACATTTTCCAAAAGCTCCTTTTTGCAACTTACAGAGTTGGAACAGTTCAGTTACATGGCTCCAGCTAAGTAAGTTGCTGATGTTATTAGTAACTATGCTTTTGGGAAACTTACCCCAGGTTAAATTAAAACACAGGGTGAGTACAGGTTGCTCATGAATGGACCTGTGCATCACAGCTAGGAGGCCATAGGAAGCCATACTTCCTATGGCTTGTTCTGATGTTGGAAAAAATTATGGGCAAAGGTAAAAGTTTGCACATAATGTGAAAAAAATACAGAACAGTCATATCTTTAAAAAGATTTTTGCTTTAAAATAATCATGAAGATTTTTTTATATTACAGCAGATGTATTCTAAAAGTATTTTTTTAATTTTTTAAAAAGTAACTGTATTCTCAATACTTCCTTTTCAAAATGTAATGTGGACTGAATACAGATATTTTATCATTGTTTTCTGAATACGGACCGATGTTACTTGTATTCCGCTATATCTCAACCCTGCTTGCACAAACCTAGATGGTATAGCCTTCAGGACAGCTAGGCTACAGTAATTTTTTAAAATAAGTATATAGAGTACTCAAAAATAAAAATGCAGTATATTAAATACATAAACCAGTAACCATTATTATCATCATCAAGCATTATGCATTGTTCATAATTGTATTTATTGTATTACTTTTACATGACTTACATGACACGTTGAGACTAGAGATGTTGGTTCTGTGTGAGCTATAGCAGTACCTCACTGTAAACCAGCCAATCACAGCAGAGCTCATCAAAGTATCAATAAGCTCACCATATAAGGATGAACAGCCTGTTTCATTCTAGGGTCAAATAATTGGATTGTAAATGGGCCTGCAAATCCGCTTCTGTGCATTTTTTGACCAAACCAAGTCTGCATACCTTCTATGTAGACACCAGGGAACAATTTAAAGTACTGAAAAATGCATTTTATGACACCTTTAATATTCTCCTGTTTTTACTTGGACTATCTGTACTGTACAGTATATGAACACCATATATTATAATGTATGTAAACTCCTTGACATCACTGGATTCCATAGTACTGTTTCTTTTTTAATCTCAGTGGATTTATGAAAAATATCTTGTTCTTCAGCACCAAGAGCACATGTATCTGTAGACTGAACTGTTTGCTGTGATGTTTTGATGATATTACTCTGCATGTGATGTGCAGGGCCCCAGAAAGCGGAGGAGCTGCAGGTGGTAAATGTGTCATCCTCACAGATCTGGCTGAGCTGGCGGGTGCAAACAGCCCCCCACTCTGCCGTCAGCCAGGTGCGCGTATCACTCGTCCCATCGGATGGTGGTGGGGCACACATTGCCCTGCTAAATGCAAGCATCACTGAGTACAGCTTCAGGTCAGAACTCTCAAGGGGAAGTCAGAGAAGTGCTGACAGTCAGCACATGACATTTCATTAGCACATCACAGTACTGTTACAAGGTCACAATCACCATGTTCCTTGATTTCTGTACTTCCTGCTTCCTTTACATTTATGGCATTTTTAAATATTTATTTTTGTGAATGTAAACAAAAGGAGAAAGACCGTGGAGTACTACTGCATGATATATCCTGTAATTGCAGTTCAAATCTGGTTCCAGCTTGACTGAATGTATTGTGGCGATCTTGTGGGTCATAGCGGTTTGAATGAAATGAGTTTCACCAGAAGTCCCACCGTTTATTACACAGACTAATGTCAAGCAGTCTTCGTCCCCTCAACAACAGCACAAACGAAGTGAGAGATATTTACATGACACAGACACGTTACACATTAACAAAAAACACACACTTTACAGGAGATTGATACACTGTACAACACTTACTCACAAACACAAAACACATGGAATACATGAAGGCACACATTAATCAAAAGAATAACACCACTAGCAGTGCCGCACAAAGCATGCCGGTAACCTGTCTAATTAAACTGGAACTGACATAGTATTACTGAAACGGTTCCCACTGGGTTAGTGCAATAAATGAACTAAGACTGACCAATAGTAGCAAGAATGGAAGTGTATGAGTTTCATGTTTCACTAGGCTGGTCTTTTATCTCAAGACTAGATAAGTGGCTATTGAATATGAATAGAAGAATGAATGCACAAAATAACAAGTGTGTGGACTAAGTTAGGTTAATGTTACCGGTGTTGTATGTTTCTGGGTCAGTTCCCTTCTCCCAGGCCACATGTATACTGTGGATGTGCAGACACAAAGTGGGCTGAGGCCAGAAGACCTACCTTCCACAGGCCACTCTGCTGGGCCCCTGCATATCTGGACCAGTGTGTACCTCTTTCTTGCTTTCTAAACATATGCACCACACACTCTCAACTATACCGCTATACATTTAGACTTACACCTAAATATATCCATGAACTTAACATTGCATGCAAGCTAATTAGGGCCTACCTAAGCTGGATCATTAGTGGTTCATTGATTGCCTTGCATACATTTGACGATTGTGTTGCTATTATAAGTCTAACTACTTTGATTTGCCCTTTCCATGGCCCCAGGACCTTCACCCCCCCAGAACTTCTCCCTTGCTCATGTCGCTGCCACATCAGCGCGGGTCACCTGGGACAGTGACTCCCGTAACCTTCCAGATGGCTTTGTGGTCAACGTGACATGGGGCCTGAATATGAGAAGTCGTTATCTGCCCAGTGGAAATGTGGGTTCTTACGTTGTGCATGATCTGGTACCTGGGCAGCACTACCAGCTAGCACTGACAGCTGTCTACAACACTGACCATCAGCAGATACACAGCCTGCCTCTGAACTTGGCTTTCCAAACCAGTAAGTTCTATCTGTCTATCATACCAAGGGCTGATTTATTATAGTATAACAGTTTCAGTCTCTCCATCTTGCCTGTTACAGTTTTTCTTGATTGTTTTGGCAGATTTCTCAAATAACAATTTCCAAAACAAGTATCCCCACACTATAATTTCACATACACAGCAGACCATCCTTTATTATTGCTTCATACAAATTTCCAAATGTTTTAGTACATGTATGCAAATTTGTACAATTGTCATCATTTGGCACAATTTTCAGTTGCTTAAATCTTGTTTATCAAAATGGATTATGTAGTTTCCCATTGTAATAATTATACCCCCAAAACTAAGTGATCATCGTGTAACCCACCATATGCAAAACAGTTGAGAAATACTCTTGTATTCTTCAGAATGTTATGTTTCATGAAATCTGCCATAGTAATCGAAGAAAATGTAAGTAAAGTTACCTTTGCAGTTAATCTTGGGATATTTGTCAAATTTGTGAGCAAAAAAATTTGCTGTGTTTTTGATACCCACCCTACATTCTTACCACATTCATATGGAGGGAAACTGTAAACCAGCAGACTGGTCTGGTTCTGCCTCCATGTGTTGTTGTAGGATTGTATCAGCAATAGAATCTGCAAACAGGAAATTTTGTTACCTTACACAGATGAAGGTAATTCCCTTAATGATAATTATTCCCTTAATGATAATTATCATATCTGAAGAATTCCTAGTGTGATAATTAGTTCTTCATCAGCAGTAAATGGACCCATATATTTGCAACTTAAGGATGTTGTTACTTTCTCACTGCTCCCTGATTTTCTAGTCTCTTGGCGTCTGTGTCTGTCAGTCACTGATTTCTACATGCAGTATATTCCTCTGGCACATGACAGTATGTTTTGGAACCATCTGTATACCATTCATTTTGTTTAGCACAAATATGAATTTTACAGAAATTAAGAATGGAAATTGTTTGTCAGTTCTTCAGACCTTGTTTCTTTTTTTCTTTTAATCCCCCTGAATGTAATTTTGTGCTGAATAGTCCACATTCTGAGCTGCTTCTGCACTCTGACAGTGCCATTGGAGAAGGAGCTGAGCAAGAAGGTGAGGCCAACAGAGACTCAGCTGGAGTTGCAGCTGTCTCGGCCCATACACAGTGCTTTGGAACACGTCCTGCATGGGGCCGCTCATCGGGAGAACCTGTCTAAGTAAGGAAGGATAGCTTCATTAGTGACTACAGAGTCATACATATATATCTATTCATACTTCATACAAAGTGTTTATTTTCTACTTCAAAGGAACAAAACAAACATGATCAGTTATTACCCAAAATGCGTGCGTGCCCACACACACACACACACACACACACACATATATATATATATATATATATATATATACATGCCTGTAAAGTGATAACAAAAAAACATCCATGCAACAGCACATTTCATGAAGAATATTTCATATTTTTATGACTATAAGAGCATTTTTTAAATCAGTTCATGTACACAGCTCAACAGTGTGGTTATGCTATAAAAGGCAGTGACTCACCCAAAAGAGTTACAGATTTTCTTTATTGCTTTGGCACAGTTCTCAAATAACATTTAACATTTGCAAAATAGCAAGTGTGATCCCCACACCATGATGTCACTCCTGCACAGCAGAATGTCATTTCTCATTGTTTCACACAAATTGCAAATGTTTTAGTACATATATGCAAATGGGGGTGATTCTCCCATGCACTTGGGTGAAAGAAGCGTGAAGCTGCCTGCTTTTTTCACTTTTGCATATTCTCCTATTGACAAAAATCCAGAGTTTAAATGAATTTAGGCTAAATAAGTGCATTCTTTACTACATGCTCTGGAGTACGAAGGCCCTGAAAGCCCAGAACACAATATTAACACAATGCAAAAACATTAAGATGATGCAAAAACGTACACAACACAAAAACTTCCAGATAAAAAGCTAATTTAATTTTTAAATGTGTTGTGTTCTCTTAATGTGTCTGTGTTTCAAAACAGACCCGCAGATCAAGGTTGAACAGTATTCAGGGGTCACAGTAATACAGTATTCACAGTTGTACAGAAGTCAGGGGTCTCCAACAGAACTACCTGACCAGGACACTCGACAAATTGGAAACAACTCTAATCTGGGGTAGGATATTAGTGGTTTCTAGTTTTTAGTGGTGGTGACTAGCAAATGGTTTGGACTATATATATATGACTGGACTATGCAGTTTTTTTATTGCAATATTTTTTCATCAGAAACTTTCAGTCCATGCTACTTGTGGGAGCCATTTGTTATTTGTTGTGGTGGTGGTGGTTGACACTAGGAGGCAGTGTGGGCTGAGTAAGCTACAGGTCACGGTGCAAGAGGGGAGAGAAAAGCCTTAAAAGAGGAGGTGGCAAGGAGATCATACGGTTTTACCGCTCATATGCCATACACAATAGTAATCCTTACGTTGTGATCATTGTAACCTTTTAGAATATCGCTATTAAATGGGAACTTGACCCAAAGGTTAAATGGATATGGATCTCAACTTACTTTGTATAGTTATTGGCATGCGTATGTCATCTTTCAAAGTAATCTGTTGAAAATGAGTGATGGACAAGCCCATAATAGAATTGAGTCCACAGAGTCGCAACGTACGGATTGCGATAAAAGATCAAGAAAGCTTACTGTTAAAGGACTTAATATGTTAATTGAAAGGCTTCAAAGGGAACGAAGTACGAGTTTTAGAAAGGCAAATAAGATTGGCCTCGCTTTTGTCTACTGTTGAAAATGTTCCTGAACATGTAATTAAGGTTCAACAAAATCTAAGAAAGTTTAAAGGTTTGTCACATTGCTTTTGATCTCCATAACACGTTAACTGAGTTTTCTCTGCCTGGAGAGGAGCTGAAAGGGCAGGAAGCATGGTTTCAGTCAAAAAGGTCTGTTAATGATGCATTTAATGAAGAGGTGTATAAATTGTTGAGGGAAAGGGGAGCTTCATGTGACGGCGATGTTTTAATGGATGACTATGCAGATGTCACACGATGACCAGGGAAGCAGAAGCGAGGAGACGTAGGATAAGGGGAATATGGGGTTTAATGAGCGATAAAAACGAAGTAGGCAACACACAGATCGACATTACAATGACCGGATTGGGGAAACAAACTGAAACGCGGACTAAATACATTGCACTAATGACAGTAACCGGAAACAGCTGATAAACATGGGGAATCCACATGAGGTTAACAAGGGGGCGTGACACACGAGAGGAGCGGACAATCGGGGCATGACAGAACCCTCCCCCAAAGGCGCACACTCCGGGCGCGCCTAAGGGGAGCAGAGCGACGGGGACCGGGGACACGACGGTACCTGGGGAGACAAAAAGGAACAACAACCTCAACGGGGCACAGGGAATAGTATGGACACACAAAACTGGCACAAGGTGGACAACTCAAACAATAAGCCACAAACCACGGGGAACGCAGACAAACACAAAGACACCAACGACGGAAACATGGGACCCAGGGACACTAAAGGGGACAACGGAGGGACCACACCAGGGGGCACACAGGGACGAACAGGGGGCGTGGGCACAAATGGATGGGAAGGACACACAGGAGACATAAAGGAACCGAAAGGGGACAAAGGCATAGAAGGACGAGGAGAAAACATGGGGGCCACAAAGGGACTAGAGGACACCGAGGGACACGGAAGAGACACAGGAGGCACAAAGGGACCAACCAAAGACGAAGGCACTGAGGGCCGAAGGGGAAACATGGAGGGCCTGAAGGGACCAGAGAGGAAAAATGGCACGGAGGGACGAGGAGCAAACATGGAGGGCACAAAGGAACTAAAAGGGAGTGATGGTGGCACAGGACAGGGAGTGAACACAGGGGCCAAGGGATCTAAGGGCAAGGGGCAACGTGGAGCAGAAGGGACCTTCAAGGGACGAGAAGTAGGGCACGCTGGAGAAGCAGGTCTCTGCGGGGCCAGAACAGGGGCTGAGGGTGGTGAGAATGCAGGTAAAGGGGCTGGTGGAGGTGGCCAGGAGGGAGCCATGGGGAGAGCCGCGGGCGAGGGACCCGCAGGCCGTCGAGGGGACGGTGGCGGTCAGGCCGTGGCCGGCTGCCCAGGAGCCCTGGGTGAGACTGGGGCCAACCGCCGAGATGGGGCCTGGGGGTGTGAAGGGGCACCAGGGAGTCTACCCCGCCGTCGGTGTCCCCTCCCTTTCCGGGAGACCGAGAGGCGGGAACCCAGCCATGAACCACCTCGATGAGGTGCAGGCAGTTGGGGTGACCCCCTGGGGTGGTCCATAGGCACAGTCAGGGTGATCCCCGAGGGGTCCCACTCCAGCTCCTCCTCCAACTCCATTGTGGAGGAAGGAGTGGTTGGTCAGGTCGTCAGAGACCTCCTCGGGGACTGAGACTGAGGCCGAGGGACCGGGGGCACTGGGGCCGAGGGAGCAGGGACCGGGGAGTCTGGACCCTCCTGGGTAGGCGGGCTGGCCTCCGGGGTCGGGGAGTCTGGAGCCAATGGGCGTGGCACGGACGGAGCCAGGGCCGGGACCTCGGGCATGGGCGGAGCCTGTACCTTGGGTATGGGTGGCGGAGCCGGGACCTTGGATGTGGGCAGCGGAGCTGGGACCTCAGGCATGGGTGCAGCCGCGGGCAGAGCCGGGACCTCGGGCATGGGTGCAGCCGCGGGCAGAGCCTCAGCTCCAGCTCCTCAGAAGGGGGCGCCTAAGCAGGAGCCGCGGGTGACACTGCAGGGGCGCGGGGAGCTGAGCGGGGCGCGCGGGAGCCACGAGGAGCTGAGCTGGGAGTTTGGGAGCCACGGGGAGCTGCACAGGGGACTGGGTTGTAGCAGCAGGGGCCTCGGGGGACGCAGCGGGAGCAACGGGGGTCACGGGGACAACTCGGCTGGAGCATTATCCACGGAGGGCAGAGCTGGAGCCGGAGGCACAGGGGTAGAGCTGGAGCCTCAAACAGTGAAGCAGGGGGCGCCGCAGGAACCACTGGCTCAGCACCAGCAGGGGGCGCTGCCGTAGCCGCCGACTCCGGGCCAACAAGGGGCGCTACCACAGCCGCCGACTCCGGGCCAACAGGGGGCGCCGCCGGCACAGGCACCTCGGAGGGTGCTGCAGGCGACACAGGAGGAACCACTGGAGGCGCTGCAAACACAGGAGCCACAGGGGGCGCTGCCCGGTTCGGGAACTTGGGAACCCGCGGAATGGAGTCCCAAACGGCCCTAGCCCCTTTAAGGACTAGGCGCGTCCCGGAAAAGGGGCAAGCTGCGGATGTGGGCAACGAAGCGGCGGGCGGACAGTCAGGGCAGGTGACAGCAGGCACGAACACCCGGCTAAGGAAGCAGCGGAGAGAGCGACAGCCCCCCAAACACACCTCCTGTGTGTCTTCCTGTCCGCGTTTTCTCCGCTTTTTTTACGCTTTCCTGTGGTGGGCGGCAGTGTTTGCGGTACCACTGTCAGCTCAGAGAGCGGACAAAAAGGCAGTCCGTTGGCAAGGGCTACCTTCGGCATGTTTGCCTCTGCCACCCCACGTCTCAGCCGCCGTAAAAAACAGACAAGTTTTGAGCTTAATCCAAATGCAAACGGATTTGTTCCTAAACAAGGTACCATGAGTACACATCAAACCTTGAGTGCCATTTGTCCCTTTTGCACATGGCAAGGACCTTTTTGCAAATATGCATTCACAAGATCAAGTACAACACTCTGGAACATCATCATCGAGTGACAACACCTTCAGATTGCAGTCACAACTAAGTCATGTAACACTTACTACTGTCCAACAACTTCAGCTTGAAAATGCTTCAACAGCCTCAACAGCTGCGACATCTAGATCAGTAGCTGCACAGGAACTGCAATCGCATAGGTTACAGTCAGTACAGACCGCCCCACCAATGCAAAGTACTGTGGAAAAGGATGTTATATGCGGAATCCTGCAAAGGCAGAATGACATTACAGCAATGTTTGTGCAACAACAAATATAATCAAATCTGCCACAAAGAGACAAAGCCATTTTTGATGGAGACCCATTGCAATTTCTTTCATTTATTAGAGCTTTTGAACACTGTTGAGGAGAAAACAAGCAGCTATCAAGATTGTCTATACTTCTTAGAGCAATATACTAGGGGGCAGCCTAGAGAACTGGTACGAAGTTGCTTACATATGGCAGCACAACAAGGATATTGAAGAGCAAAATGTCTTCTGAGAGAACACTTTGGCAGTGAGATGGCCATACAAACTGCAGGAGAGAGATGGAGGTCAACGGCTTGTGAACTACAAGAGCGACGAGGCTGCAGGGCTACCTTTCCAGATGTACCTTTCCAGGCACACAACCAAGCACTTTAAAGGTTACAAATGAGAGCAGATCACGGTTCAGGAGTAACCTTAAAGGACGCAGTTTTGCAACCAGCATCTGCTACTGCGCCTAATGTGGCTTCAAAGTCTACAGTGTGCAAGATACCAAGGCAGTGTAGTGCTTCGATGGAGTCAGACTTCTGCCTCTATTGTAAAGAGTCTCATCTGGTGCTCAAGTGTCCAGGGCTGGACCCCAGAAGTACAGCATCATTTTGTACTAACAGTTTCTTGAACAAATTGAATCTGCAGGGTAAGACGAGCAACATTTTACTACACACCATGGGTCAAGAAAAGGTTGTTAAAAGCCAAGTCATTCCAGGATTGGAGGTGTCCAGATTCGGTGGCAGCCAGTTCTTGGAGCTCCCAGACGTGTATATACAGGAAGTAATTCCTGTATCTAAGAGCAACATTCCTACCCAGCAAGACCTTGAACAATGGGAATATCTAAGAGACATTAAGATCCCAGATTTGGATGCAGATGTTGAAATCTTTATTGGGACTAATGCATAAAATTCAATGGAGTCCTGGGAAATTATCAACAGTGAAGGCGGCGGACCCTATGCCGTGAGGACCCTATTGGGGTGGGTCATTAATGGTCCATTATGGGGCAATAGCGGGTGTTGCCAGAGAAGCTCCTGAACCCTCTATGCCAATAGGATATCCATTGCCAGGTTGGAGGAGCTGTTGGTTTATCAGTATAATCAAGACTTTAATGAGAAGTTATTGGAGGAGAAGCAGGAGATGTCAAGGGATGACTTGAGGTTCATGCTTGAGAAGTCCATGCACCTGCAAGGAAGTCATTATTGTATGGATTTATCCTTTAAAACTGATGATATCACTATGCCATATAACAGCTGCATAGGTGAACAGCATATTAACTGTCTGAAAAGAAAGTTTGAAAGGAATAAGTCATACCAAGAGGAATTTACAGCATTTCTCTCACACATGATTGACAGTGGATATGCTGAAGTAGTGCCTAAAGACCAGTTGGACTGTGAAGAAGGCCATGTGTGGTATCTCCCCCATCATGGGGTGTACCACCCAAGAAAAAAATCTCTAAGGGTGGTTTTTGACTGTGGAGCTGGATTTAAAGGAACATCCCTGAATAGTCAGTTGTTGCAAGGTCCTAACCTCACCAATTCAATTTTTAGTATCTTAACAAGATTCAGACAGGAGAACATTGCTTTGGTGGCTTGAATACTAAATGAATACATTATGAAGGTGTACTGAACATTTTATGAACGCAATATAAAAGCATTATGAAGGTGCAGTTAATATAAAGCGTTACCGTTTATTTATTTGAAGATTTGGGAATTTTTAAAACAGAATTTTATTCAATTTCAGTCGCACTGTTATGAGGAGGACACTTTTGCACAGTTTAGAAAGATAAATAAAGGAATATTTTTGAATAAATTTGTCTGCAGCTCATTATGTTAAAAAATCGTGAACTCATGAACCGTATCGAATCGTGAGTTGAGTGTATTGTTACATCCCTAGTCAGAAGGCTTATATATATTGTCAAAATGTCAGTGTAAGTATTCTTCTAAGCTCCATAATTCTGACTGATTGTCAGGTCACATTTTCTCATTATCACTGACTGATCATTATTGAACTGTTATTTATATTTTTTGTATAGACACCAACAGTTTCACAATTGCAAGGCTCTCTATTACAGTATGTAAAGCTAACTGGCAAGAGAAATCAGTTTTGACAAATAAAAAAAATGTAATTAATTTAAAAATTTAAATTTAATTTAAAGATATTCATGGTGTGGCAAAAAGCCAAGTAACTGCATAATCTGCTGCCAATTGTGGAAAATGGGTGGGATCAAAACAAACAAAATTGCTACACAGATGGTGTGCTGAAATGGTTGTCATTGCTCATACAACGTTGTAATGCTAAAAAGATGTTGAGTCCATTAATTTTGTTTGAAGTATGTGGCCACCTAGTGTTTAAGCTGTTCAGACACTTGGCATCACAGATGGTGGCTTTCTTGGGGAAGCTATTACATGACTAGAGACAAGTTACATTTTTTCTTGTAGCTTTGGTGCATTTATCAAATGGCAATTAACATTTACAAAACAACAAGTGTAATCCCCACACCATAATACTTCTGCATAAGAGAAGTTAATTTTTCATTATATCACGTTAACTTTGAAATGTTTTAGCACATGTATGCAAATATGGAGGATGAAACGTGACTTAAAAACAAATAAATAAATCACATAATCCATTATGACCAACAAGACTAAAGCAACTTAAAATTATGCCAAATGACAGTTGAACAAAACCATTTCTGTATATTAAAACATCTGGAAATTTCTGTGAAACAAGAAATGACGTTCTGCTCAGCAGAAGTGACCTCATGGTCTGAGGATCACACTCACTGTTTTGCAAATCGTCATTTGAGAAATGTGCCAAAGCAACCAAGAAAGACTGTAATGTTAAAAAGTTTATGACCGGTGGCAAATGCGTTATATTAGTAATTGATTTTATGAATATTAAAAGCATACTTAGAAACCAGGGTTGTGCACCATTCACAATTGAATTGAGAATGGCCCTGAAATTCTAATTCAAATCATGAGTTTGAACTCATGATTAAAAAACAGGATGCAGAATTGCAATTTGAATTTAAATATAAAGTAATCAAAATGGAACTGAATTCACATAAATTCATGTACATAGTGTAAGTGCAGTTGTAACAGTACAGCTCAGAATTTCGATATGAATTACACATAAACATGTCAACATATACGGTGTATACTGTAACAGCATTATAAAAATGTCACGTTATTCAATATGAAAGAATGCAACATATGAAGTGTCATCTATATAATTAATAACTGTCATTTTATGTACCAGGGTTGAAAAGAACATACAGCCATACAAGTAACATTATTACAACGTTATCCACGCAGAATCCTCAACAATGCTAATACACGTAAACAGTTAAATATGCAAAAACAATAAATATGTGCCCATGGAAAAAGACTTAGAGGGCTAACATAAACCACATGTATATTTATAGAATAGGTTAATAAGTGTAGCACTTATTCAATTTAAATTCCAATTTATGAATGGATTGGGGCACAATTCTAAATTCTGAATTCTGCACGACCCTGCTGCTCAGATGAGACCAAATACATTTTTTGGATCTGTAAGGTGCATGCTATGCTCATTTCTTCTCTCTTTCCTTTAGATATACTGAGCTAATTGATGACAGAGGGAAGATAACGGCCAAGTTCACTAACTTGTCCAAAAATACCGTCAGGTATCGTCCAAGTGAGTAGAACCCATAAGTGTAGCACTTAAGGACAGATTTTAATTAGAATTTCTGAATCCTTGGATTTTTAAGAAATGCATTCCTGCGAAGAATAACTGATTGCAAAATGTAGATGTGCCAGACCTTCACACACATTGACTTCATTGAAACTGGATATAATATTCTCTCTTTAGAACCTGAGCCTGTAATAGAGAGAATGGAAGAAACAACCAATAAAATCAACTTGGCACTAGATATTCCAGAGGACAACACAAAAGGAAAGCCTGGTGGGTTTGGTTTCCTAGGAGGTATATTAGTATCTGTTATGGATGTGTCATGCATTGTTTTTATACATAAAAATAAAGGGGTCTTCAGCAATCAGTAGTTAAAACTGGTTTTGGCATTTTGTCTATACGACAAAGGAAAAACAGTAGGTTTTAGTGTCAGTGTAGTTATTTTCCAGGGGCTGTTAGTGAATGTTATTGATGTTCAAGCACTACAGGAACAACACATCAAGGACAGCAGCAGCCTCACTGTCTGCATGTGAGCTACAGAAAAACCTAAATAAGTTTGCAGAAAGCCAAGCCTATGGTGGCCGCTGCTGCCTTTCAGAGCCGCCCCTAGGCTGCTAAAGCATACCTTGCCAGAATGGAGGTATGTGTGTAAAAGGGGGGGCTGTGTAATTGTCTTTTGAGTAGCCTATGAGCACTGTTCGTAGTGACTGGATTATTGATGAAATCATACTTAAACTGGTCCAGAACCATGGAATCATGGCTTGCCAAAAACACCACAAAAAAGGTGATAAGATCATACATCCTATGCCGTTTGCCAGAGTAGATATATAGATATTGACAGATATACACTAGCGGCCAAAACTGTGGAAACACCTAGCATTTTTAGCGGTACGCTTAAAAATACTCCACAAATATTGGCGGTAATGTGTATAAACAATTCTAAGAATTTTACAAATATCATACCTTGCACGATTAAATAAGTAACTGGAGCAACAGTTAAATAAAGTTCTGCAATATGCAACAAGTTTTCACAATTTTGGCCACTAGTGTACAATACCCTGACCTAAACCCTATACAGCTGGTTTGGGATTAGTTGGATTAAAGAGTAAGAACAGGGTAGTCAATTTGTGCCTAGAACTTGTGGAAACTCCTTCAGAACCGTTGGAGGCTTGGGACCAGGAGTTCCAGGTGGCTACTACCTAGAAGCTCATTGAATGAATGCAAGAGTCTGTAGTCCTCTTGCCAAAGCAAAAGGGTGCTATTTTGAAGAGTCTAAAGTTTGAGAATACTGAGATATTGAACACTTCTCTTGGTCATTGCAATATTTGATATGTATTATTTCATTGCCTTGAGGCCTTATAAGGTGAATGCAGAGACAAATGCATTAAAAGCAGGTGACTTTTGGCTGCCACTGTATATAATCAGATGAAAGAAATTCTCCAATGGAATAGTATGATATACTGTCGCTCATTGTGATGAACTATAAGATTCTTGTATAAATTCTAAATAACCTCTTCCAAATTAATAGTGATTGATGAGTCGTCAACTCTCTCATCCTTAGATTTTATGGGTACTTAAAGATTGATGGCTCACTGAGTGGCACTTTAGCCTCACATCTCTAGAGCTGTGGGCATAATTCTACCAGAGGACTGTCTGCTCATGTTTCTGCAGGCTTCCTCCTGTGGTCCGAAAACATGTGCTTGGGTGAATTGCTGTAATTAAACTGCCCATAGTGTGTGACTGTGTATGAAATGTGATAGACTGGCATTCCTTCCACTGTGGGTAGGATCTAGGCCTGAAATTATGCAAGACATATTTATGTATGTATGGATGGATTAAAGAACTATGCACTAAAGTTTGCAGAAAGCCAAGCTTCTGGTGGCTGCTGCATAGCCTGCACTTTTTGCTCTAACATATCACTGAATCAAATGGCAATCACAATCTTACTGTTCTCTCTTTGTCTGTATTCACTTTACCTGTAGTCTGCCAGCGAGTTCCACACCCCTGTACCCGACTTTATTCAGAGACAAAAAGTATTCCCATCTGGGAAGGAGGAGCCTGCCATTATTTGTAAGTTTTGTGTAGCAGTCAAGGGTCACTTTAAGTTTTTGCTGAGTTGGCACCTTCTGTTTGTTCTTCATATGTTCCAGAGAAGTACAGAACATACTAGAACAAACAACACACACATAAAAAAAAAAATACTTGAAAAACTAACAAACAATAATAATAATAATAATAATAATAATAATAAATACTAATATTTACTAATTTTTAAATTCTTGTGTGAATTTACTGTGGAATAAATGTTTTGACTGAAATGGTTTAGAGGTAAACCCATTTTTGACATTTTCTTTTCATCATGCATGTAACATCTGTTATACACCTTTGCACATTAGCACCTTAATACTGCTGCATGGTTTTCATTAGGGATGGGAATTAGCAGAGATCTCCCAATTCAGTATTATCCTGATATTTTTTTGTTGATTCAATATTTATCGTGATATTTAAATAGTTTTTCCTGAAGAGCGTTTGAAGTCTGCATTTACAGTAAAGACAAGGGCTGTAACGATACACATATTCCTCATGTGACTTTGGTTACATAATTTTCGTTTTGGAATGCGAAAATCCATTTCTGGACACAGGTGAAACCTAAATTCAGAAGTAGGTGTTCAACGTGGAAAACATTATGTTAATTGTGGCTGGTCGTTGGTTACAGCCAGTGATAGGGAGACCCTTCCCCACTATTTATAAGTAGTTTGGGACCATATTGGTTTCCAAATAAATTAAACCAACACTGAAGAAAGAGTTGCTGATAAGAACAAGTCTGTTATTTGGCTCTATTATACCAAACCGACACATGTTGCTGGAAACACATCAAACATGCTAACTCATCATCCAAGTGTGTGTATGACTGAAACAAGACAGAAACAGCCTCTGCAAGTTAGCCCCCCATGGCATTTAAAGCAATTTTGTCAGGAAATTCAGACCAGGCTTAAAATACAATTAAGTCTATGGAGGATGTTCATCACAGCCTCTGCAGGCACACTGCAAAAGATGCTTGGCTTAGTGAACAGGATTACTGTATTTGATTTTATTACTCTACTTTCAACCCTCTATTTACTTTCCATTTTTGAATGTTTTTCTATCCGTTTGATTTTAGCCTTATTACCAGGGATTGACATAATTGGTACGCAAGTATGCAATCGCCTTTAAAACCAATATGTGCTGCAATTACCTTTAAAACCAATATGTGCTGCAATAGATTCATGTAACAGCATGAAATAGTATGTATTTTATGTGAATATATGTACGCATTTGCGGTGTTGCATTAATCGATTGCCGCACGTATCGCTTTTAAAGGTGAATGCGTACTTGAGTACCAGTTATGTCAATCCCGGCTTATTACATGGTATGTACATAAGTTAGCCACATATGCTGTATGTTTTTGTTTTCAGGACATTCTGCGCTGCTCAGATATGTAATAATTTGATGTGTAAATGTTGACTTAGTCTTGATATTATGCTTTTTATGAGCAAAAACTACTTGCGCCTATTGATATTTCTCAATTTTTCCTCTCATCTAATATAAAAATTTGCGGGGGGGTATCACGTGGCTTCGGTACAAGATGGCTGCCTGAGTTAAAGGCTCCATGAAACTCAATGTAACTATAATTTTAAAAACCCCTAAACTGATTGTAAACCCAAAGGCTGCTCATCGTTTGTATGTCTACCACCTCAGAGATTAAACAGTGTGACATTTTCACAAGAAAGTGTAAGACTGCCACGGAAAAACTGAAACCACAAACTTCTGAAACGGGCTTGGCTAACATGGTGGATGTGATAAGTATTCTGGCCAAGCTTAAATCATTGTGTTGGGAATTCAGCTCAAAATTAGAGAAACACATAGCGAAATGACAGATATACACTAGCGAAATGAATCAGCGAAGCACAGCTTGAAACCAAGCTAGAAAATACCATGTCTACATTAGCGGCAGCGACCAAACAGGTAGCATACCAGGAGCCCAAGACTGACGACTTGGAAAATCTTGTGCAAAGAAAGAACCTTTGACTCAAAGCGGGAGCCGAGGGCTCGTGTCCTGTCCTGGACTTACAGTAATAAACTCCATGCTTCCACACTGCAATTCCAAAGGGCTTGGAATGCCCTTGGGCAAATCTTTCATGTTGGCTCCACCAAAGCCAAACCGGCACAGTGCTTATTTGATTTCTCAAGTTACAGGAGGAGTCAATATTTTGCTCCTCTAGGAATCGCAAAATCTCCCATGATGGGGTGAGGCTATACCTGTACTTCCCTGAGGACCGTTCATCGAAAACTATCCAGCAGCAGTGTGAGATTAACACTTTAGGAAAAGCTTTTGATAGGTATAGGCATTTACCACTGCTTTCAACCTCAGCCTTGCAAGCTGAAGATCCTCCATGAGGGAAGAATACTTCTTTTTTCTTCTCTGAAGGAAGCAGAGTTATTCTACACGAGAATCTATCTAAAAGTTGGATAATTGAATTGGACATTTTTCAGGTTGAACTTTCAGTATGACACTGGTGAGACTTCCCTTATCGCTCTGCCACCAAGGTCCTTTGAATGTGGGGTTTACCTAATTATTATTTTTTTGGATGTTAACTGAAGCCTATTGAATAGTATTTTTGGATTTAAACAGTGAACTACTGTATGCACGGCTCTACAGTTTTTTGCGTATTCATAAAGTATGTGCAGCATCCAAATATAACAATTACATAGCACTACTTAAAGCTAGGGGACTTAAAAACTGTTTGTACATTGTGTCTGCACGAGAGGTTGTGCTGTGGCTGACAGTTGCCCACAGTTAATTGGAAACTCATGTCTCTTATTATGCCTTGTCGTTTGGGGACATGGCTTGTGCCTGGGGGGTGGGGTGGGTATGGAATGTACTTTTTTTCTCTTTCCTATCATTTTGAATATGATGGCTGTCAGTTTAATGTTTAAGTTAATATGCCAGGTTTACTTAATGTGATTACATGGAATATAAAAGGGTTAGGCCATCCAATCAAATAGAAAAGGGTCCTTACATTCCTTAAAAAAGAACGAGCTGTAGTGATGTAGTGCCGCTGCAAGAAACTTGCTTATCTAACGTAGAGCATCAAAAACTGAAGAGAGTCTGGGTTGGCTAGGCCTATTTTTCAAGCTTTACTACACAAAAAGGGGCACTGTCATAGTTATGCATAAAAATCTCCCCTTTCTACTTACAGACCAACATATTGATGAGGAAGGAAGGATTGTACTGATTCATGGAGTGCTATATGGGCAGGAGATTACTTTCCTGAATATTTATTCTCCAAACAATGATTCCCCCAATGTTATGACTAACACCATTTCTTTTTTCTGTCAGTATTTTTCATCTTGGTGGATAATAACTGGGGATTTTAATTGTTGTATAGATGGGACTTGTGAGGGGTCTGCTCCGTCCCACTCCAGTTATGTCTTCTAAAGCATTGCCATTAGCAATGGCAGATGTTGGTTAAGTGGATGTATGGAGGGAACTTACTCCCGGTAAACTGTAAACTGGATGGATTTAAAGAACAAAACTGTTGAAGAAACACAATTTTTTTAAAAGCACATTGTTGCAAGTGTTGGAGCAGCACTCCTCCAGGTCCGTTGATGAGAAGAGATTCACACCAGAGACGAAGAGTAGTTGCAAGTCACAAGTTTATTCCTTACACAGGAATAAACTTGATCTGGGAGCCGCACTCTAACACACCTTCAGCATGTACAAGAGGAAGCTCATCAATACTTATCGGCTCTGTCCTTTTATAGCCCCTTCGGGGCGTCCCCACCTCTCTTGGTATTTTTCCATCCGCGTGACAACAACATATTTTGACATTTGCTCCGGTTAGTACATGTCCCCCCACCCGGCATTTTGTCACATAAGCGCTTTGCACCCCCCACTTTGTTAAGCAAAGCCAGCTTACCCTCTCTGGAACTTAGCAACAATGCACCATCTGTTTCCGTTTCACAACTGTCTGGGTCAAGGCCCCCTGCCCTGCCGGCACGCTGGTCAGTTCCTGTTTCAGTCAGCTACATTCTTTTAGAATTAACCCCTCACAAGTGCAAGAGGACTTCATACAGTACCTGTTTCCAGTAAGACTAAAGCTAGGAAACTGCAACCAAGGTGGTTTACTAAGGAAATTTAGAAATTAGTAGGAAAAGGGCTGTTTCACAAATGGAAATTAACTAATGAGCAGGAGTATCTAAGTCTACAAGTTGAGTTAAAAAATAACACAAGACTCGCAAAGAGGAACATAGAAAGGCAGATTGCATTGAAGGCTAAGGATGACATTATAAGTTTCTTCCAAAATTTTAACTCCAAAAGAGCTGTAAAAGCTGAAATCACTAATTTGCAGGATAGTATAAGAGCCTTATAATTGAAAATGAAATTGATATAGTAAATGAGTTTAATTATTATTTTACACGGGTGTTCACAGTAGAGGACATGAGTAACTTACCACCTTTTATTACAAATGCAGTGTTGTCTATGTCCAATATATGTATAACTGAGGTTGACATGGTACAAAGCATAGCTAAGCTCAAAATAAATAAATTGCAGGGCCCTGATGGCATCTTACCTATAGCATTAAAAGAGATGAGGGATATTATTAGCCACCCTTTACTATTTCAGAAATCCTTATCTGCCAGTGTGGTACCTTCTGATTGGAAGCATGTTAATATATGGTCCATATTCAAAAAAGGGGTAGAAGTAATCCAACAAACTATAAGCTAATCAGTTTAACTTGCATAACTGGAAAAGTAATGAAAGCTATGGAAGCACGTTTCGGGCACCTAGAGTAGAAAAAAAAACCCATTTATCTAAGAATTCTGACTTTTTATCTCGGAATTCTGACTTTTTTTATCTCGGAATTCTGACTTTTTATCTCTGACTGATTGGATGGTTCAATAACCCCTTGAACTTCCTGCCGAAGGCATCGCAAAATATCCCGCGTTGCTAAACGCGAGGAGGAGGAGGATCGAGGACACAACATGTAATAAGCATGGGACGTGTGCTTTCTACGCAAGAGAAAACA